TTTAAACTGAGTAAAGAAGCAGGCCGGACCTTAACTTTCTCTTTTTGTTTCATTGTGAATATGCTAGACTGCGAGCTTCCTGTGTTTGGTTGGGCATGTGTGCGCCTCGACAGCACGTCACCGTGCAGACTATTGACTTGGCAGGCAAAACCGATTGAGGTTGATATGAAGCTGTATCTAAAAGTCAGCAGACCTCGAATTTGAATGTAAAAATGCCCATGAAAACAAAGTGATGTAGAGCTGCGCTTCATTATGTCACTCTCTTATTGGACAGTTGGTTTGTGGGTCATGTGTCACTTTCTATGCATTTCCAGATCATTTTGTGTGGATGCTCTTTGAAATTCAACTTCTATTATCCTCCGTCACACCAGCGCGGCTGTGATGAACAACTCTTCAGTGTGAAGTCATTTTTCATGAAGCACTTTTCTTGTCATCTAAAGGGCGAATGGAGGTTTGTTCCCACAGTCTCGTTCCTTTGTACATACGTGTTGTTCTCTGTGCTTTTCCCACATGGATTGTATAGACAGCATCAATAGACGGTGGTAAGAGAAGACACTGACTCACTGTGTTTAACAGGATATAACGTTACAAAAATATGACTGATGTCTAATTCACATTTATTCTGAGCTTAAGTATGAAAATGTCTCCCTCTGCTGAATGTGAGGCAGTTTTTCATGAACCTTTTCCATCTTATTTCCTGTTACGTTCCTTTCAAGTTTAATTTTGTTTTTAGTCATGGTTAAAAAAACAAACCAAAAGAAAAAATAAGTATAGCTTCATATAAAACGCACACCAAAACATGAAATGGTAATAAAATGTGTTAAATTAGCTGTTTATTCCAATAAGTGCTGTCTTTGTGCCACATAAGGTGTTTATTACAATTTCTTGGTTCAAAAATGTATGAAATCTCTTTTGTCAGGCTGTGTGGCACCTTAATTAATCCCATACTTAAGAAATTTACGTCTTACAACAGCTCACAAGTCAGAAGGAAAAATCAAAGATATACTAAAAGACGGGAAAATCAAGCATTATTAATTCAAAAGTGTTTTATACTATGTACAAATGTGCGATATATACAATGAGTTTACATGTAATATTGAATTAATCCTGTGTACCAACAATACAGAAATAGGAAACGATAGAAATAGATAATTCATTGCATGGCATTCAGAAGCCTTACGGTTTCAGGAAATAAACAGCGTGCAGATAATGCTGTTTATTATTCCCACGCAACACGAGTTTGTCTATTTATTTGAAACGTAATAAAATGACAGTAACTTGCATACAAATGCAACAAACATAAGATAAACATTTTATTTATTCCCTTGTTCTTGTAAAAAGTGGTTTTCTGTATAAAATAGCCAAACAAATCCGCTGTGCGTGTTGTGTCGCGTATTTACGGCTGCTCGTTTTTGACGTCCAGCTGTAGCACCTGTTACGGTAACAGGTGACGTCACTCCGATGGTGTTACGCCCATTGAGAAAAAAAAAGAAGGAAAAAAGGGAAAAGAGCGAGAGAGAGTGTAAGAGTTTACTCTGCTGGACTCCGGGAGGCTGCAGCTCATCCTCACCACGCTCTACAGCGGAGCAACAAACCCGCAGCACGTCGTTAAACTGTTCAGAGCTGAAACTTTTCCCGCTTCAGAAGAAACGTCAGTGCTGAAGTTGGAGGTAACAAGGTGAGACTCAAACACAAGCAGCGCAGCTCTGTGAGCGCGCGGCTAATCTCTGCAGCTAGCTAATAGTTTTTGCTGTGAACTTTACACCTGCTCGATAAATACTGTGGTT